GTGTACGGCCGGTATCTTCAATTCCTTGAAGCATTGGCTTTGTGTAGCATGTATGTACGCATGTTCGTGCGAACGTGTGTGGGTGTCATCATCGGGCGAGCTACCCTCTACCATCTTCTCTTCTCCTCAATGCTTGGCTCTTCCGCGTGCCAGAGAACGCTAAATGTGGGTACTGAAGTGCGTGCCTCTGTGTGTGCCTGCATTCGACCCGCCGTCCGGGCCGAACGCTGCTCACTGGCGTGCGCCCTCCACTTGGCCTGCCTCATCCTGTTGTTGCAGCCCTACGCGCGCGGTGGGCCCATCTCGGGTCCGCCCGCGACCGCGGCCAGCCGCCCCCCGCGCTGCGTGGCTATCTGCCACGGCGCCCTGGCCGTCCCTCTGAACCGCGTTGCGACGGAGCCCCCATTTTGGGCTCACTCTGCCTGCTTCGCCGCCCCCCCCCTGGCGCCGGCCGTTGGGCGGTGCCCGCCGTTGCCTCCGCCACTGCCCCGACGCCCGCTGGCCCCGCTGGCGCCCGCTGCCCCCCCGCCGCGCTGTCCTGCCCGCCACTGCCCCGCGAGGGGCCGCCACCTTTCTCACCTTCACCTCGCTTTAGCTTGGCGTTGGCCCGTCGGGCGTGACTAACGGACGGCCGCGCGGCCTCTTTGCCCCGTCCGCGACGCTCAACCAGTGTGTGTGCGAGGGCAGTGCCACTCATCCAACGGCTTCCCTTGCACCCTGCACCTCGGCTCCACCGCCGCTCTCGGCGCCGCCCCCACCCCGGGCAGACGGGCCCACTCCGTCGCTGACCCCGACGCCGCTCCCGACGACCACCCCGATGATACCCCGTCTCTGGGTAGATGCCCCTGCCTCGACCCTGTCCGTGACGCTGCCCAATCCGGTGCCACTGACCCTTCTTCCGACGGCCTTCCCGATGGCTGGACCGACACCGCTCTCGACCCCCCCCCTCGCCGAGGACGCTCCCGACACCTGCCCCGACGACGCTCCTGGCACCGCTTTCTCGCTGGACCCGACGTTCTCACTCCTGTCGACTCTCCGACTGACTCCGGCCCCCCCGCCGCCTCCGTCGACGCTCCCGACGCCACGGTCGACCCGACCGCGCCGTCGGTGCTGTTTTCTTTTGCTCCAGTGCTGACAGTTCCGGACCTAGAGACCCCGTGGCCGCTCCCGACCGGCCTTGCCCCGTTCTGGCCCTAGTGGGCACCCCCCGGCCTGGACCTTTGGGGGTCTCTCGGCGGGGGGGTAATGGCCTTGCCGGCCTTCCGAGCGCCGCGGGCCCTGAACCCTCAGAACACAGTCCAGACACTGCCGCTGCCAGTCGCGATAGTTCCGTGGACCACGTCCACGCTGTTCCAGCTTCCGGATGCGCCACCCACAAGGCTTCCCGCCCTGTTTTTTGGAGAGGCCTGCCTTAGCATTCGGGCTGCCCTCCGACAGCGCCGAACCGCGAAGCCACCCTTCGGCCAGCTGGGGCCCCCTTAGGTTTAAGTCGGGCCTGTCCCTCTATATGAGGAGTATTTTATAAATCGTAAAAAAATAGTCTGGGAACTTTTTTCCCCACATGCTTCGTGGGGTTCTGGTTTTCTTCCCTGCTGCGCCGCACCCGCGACACTCTCACACACACACACACACACCTCACTCTTCGTACAGCACAGCTCAGCACAGCACATCACAGCACAGCACAGCACAGCACAGCACAGCTCAGCTCAGCACAGCACACAGCTCAGCTCAGCTCAGCACACATCGTCCAGGCATAGCAGGCGTGGCACTTTCTCGACACCATAGGGGGTGCGCAGGGGGTGGTCCCTGAGCGCGGCCGCTATCCGTGCCAGTCGTCCAGGCATAGCAGGCGTGGCACTTTCTGCCAGTCGTCCAGGCATAGCAGGCGTGGCACTTTCTCGACACCATAGGGGGTGCGCAGGGGGTGGTCCCTGAGCGCGGCCGCTATCCGTGCCAGTCGTCCAGGCATAGCAGGCGTGGCAGGGGGTGCGCGTGGTCCCTGAGCGCGGCCGCTATCCGTGCCAGTCGTCCAGGCATAGGGGGTGCGCAGGGTGGTCCCTGAGCGCGGCCGCTATCCGTGCCAGTCGTCCAGGAGCAGGCGTGGCACTTGGGGGTGCGCAGGGGGTGGTCCCTGAGCGCGGCCGCTATCCGTGCCAGTCGTCCAGGCATAGCAGGCGTGGCACTTTCTCGACACCATAGGGGGTGCGCAGGGGGTGGTCCCTGAGCGCGGCCGCTATCCGTGCCAGTCGTCCAGGCATAGCAGGCGTGGCACTTT